ATTTGTGATGTTGTCCGCCCCGTTGTGCAGTGCTTCTTGAATTTCAATTTCATTTTGGCGACCAGCAAGTGATGGTCTGATGCTATATCAGCTCCTCTCTTGGCTCTCACATCCTCCATCGTCCTCCTGAACTTTTTGTTAATACAGATATGATCGATTTGGTATTGTGTAGTGTGATCTGGTGGAGTCCATGTGGTTTTGTGTATGTGTTTATGTGGGAATATGGTGCCGCCTATGACCAGTTTATTGAAGTCACATAGGTTTGTAAATCCCTCACCATTTTTGTTCCTTTCTCCTGGAACATTTTTTCCCATGATGTCTTCATATCCGGTGTTATTCATTCCAGCCTTGGCATTCATGTCTCCCATCAGGATGGTCAAATCCTTTGCTGAGCACTTCTTGACGATTGTATGACACAACAAAGAACCCTGCTGGAAATCATCGTAAATCAGAATGGCCAGTGAAAAGGAAGGAAGGCGAGGTAATCACCAACATTGAAGAGCGACAAAACAGGTGGGTAGAACACTTCAAAGAACTCTTGAATCGACTAGCCCCACCGAACCCACCCAACATCGAAGCAGCACCCACGGATCTCCCAATCGATGTTGGCCCACTAACAATTGAAGAGCCTATAATGCCATCAGGGATACATCTAAAGATGGGTTACCTAAGTTGTTTGCATGGATTACAACATGTCTGAGATGGACTACTTTCCAGTGTGAAGTGTTGAAAGTAGGTCTGTTGTTGTTCGCTTAACTTTGAAGTCGAGTCAGATCTTTTTGACGCGCCAGCTAATCAACTCGGTCACAAGCTCCTAAGTCTCACAATTTTGGGGAAAATTTGACCCATTTTGGTGAAGCCGCATTAGGAACTTTTGGGGGATATCGGCCAACCCCCAAAACTTCCCAAAAGTTTCTTCAGAATCTTAATACAATTCGGGGAAATCGTCCTGTATTTAATAATAAAAACTCAAAGTTTTTCACAATTTCGAGTGAACTTCGCGTTTTCCCCTAAAGTTCGATGTTTTCTTCAAACTTTGGGGAAGGACATCTGACTTTGGGGTTCTTCCCCGAAATTTCCTCGAACGTGGTAGATTGTATTCCATCCAGAGTTTCACAACATCAGCAAAAATTAATGAATCAGACGACACGTATTTAGGAAGATCATTTATTCAAACTAAGAAGAAAAGAGCTCTTAGTACAGAACCTTGAGAGTATTCTCTGTGATATTCCGTAGACTGAAAAATGTCGAGTTTACTCTGACCTCGGAAAATTGATTATTTAAATATCGAAAAGGCCAATTATTTAAGTCACATGGTACCTAACCGTTCGAACTCATTAATAGGACATATATGGCTGGCCTTATTGAAGGTGTTTTAGAAGTCGGGGTATGAGTTATCAACCATCCTCTTGTGATCAAGGATAGTTGTTCATCTGTTCACTGGAGTCAGGAGTCTGGTTATACAAGAATAACCCTTACGGCAACCGTTCTGTTAAGGTGAAAAGAATTTTTTGGATAGTAAGTAGTTGCATAAACCATCGCATAACATGGTGTTTATGATCTTTCAAGGTATTGAGAGGAGTGCTGTAGCTTGAAGGTTCGCTGCTTCGGCCTCCTTTGAAACTTCGTATGATGTCCACCAACCTCCAATTTTATGAGACCGTGTTTCGGCTTAGCAAATATGAGGGTATCATATTAAGAGGTTTTGCCAAGATTGAAGCCGTTTTTCTCAGTGTAACAGAGGAAACCATATCCAGACGGTATTGATCGTCCAAAAAATTTAATGAAAAAAACAACCGATCAACTTAAGTATTTCACATTGAACTTCAGACCTCTTTACCCATCTGCCTCCTAGCCTCCTCTCAAATATTCTCATACCTTTCTCGAAACTGTAATGAGACAGCGTTATAGCTTCCGAGTTGAAGCCCTGAATTTTAGAGTAAGTGAGCGATCCCGTCTTTCTCCCACTTAGTGGGCTGAGAACTGTTCGTTACCTTATTCTGTCTTAACTTTTATTTGCTCAATTGTCCCATTAATTGTAATCGACTCAGTTAATCTGCTATGAGTATTAATCATCATAACATTACGATGCTACGCGTGTGCAAGCGTCAATTGTTTAATGGATTATGCGTAAATATGAGTAAATCTAGATCGAAAAGTGAAAGTGTAGAAGAGGATTAAGAACAGGTTGCGTTTCTTCAATCGGGCTTACCATTGCAGAATTATGATCTACTATGACATTAGTACTGCTCTAATAATAGAACTGATCCTTAAATTGTAGGTTTTTCGTGATGTAACTGCCTAGTCCATGAGATCTTACATGGAAGTCACATCATTGTCTACGCCAATTCATTGCGCCGTAACAATTATCAATACATGATGAGGAACACATTAAGTTTTTGAGATAGGGCAATATATTTAATGTGAATTAAAGATTATGCTATAACATTTAAGGCTGACCACGCCTGCAAGGCCGAGCCATGCCGTCCGATCAATTCTAATTAATTCAATTTCTTGTTCCCGCCTTCTCTATCGTTGGGTTGTGTAGTTAGGGCCCGATTCCACTATAGATATTTGACCGCGGAAACAGTTTGAGCGGTATCAAACTGATGCGGTGCATCACATTCTTTGGTAAACATTACCATCTGGTGGGGTTCACCTGAAGGACTGGATAGTTTGTCCGCGGCCGTAAAAGAGCCATGATTTTTAGACTCTGCATGCTAGTTGATGGCATTTGTAGAAGGTGCTTTCGGAGCGCACCCAGCAAAAGCCCCTCAACAAATCGCGAGCGCATTAATTCTTCTCGCCTCGAGAAATCTAGATGAGGAAACGCTTGGACTGTTGTTAGTTGCAAAGAGTGAAGATAGTCAATGGGATCTTCACTCGCCTCCTGGTGACGTGATAGAAACTGACTGGTCACCTGCTGAGTGTTCATGGTTAAAGAAAAACATTCACCTAAAATTTTCAAGTTTTGGGACGACAAATTGCTTGCCGCGAAGCTGTTGCTCTTTTTGCTGCCCCATCATCTAGGTAAGATAAAAGACAGTCAAAGTGTTCTGTCGTCAGAACTCAACACAGATATGCCATTACTCTGACTTTCCAGATAGCATAATATGATAAGTTTCAGAGTAGTGGTGGTTGGAGAGTGGTTGTACCGGTTGCTACTTTGACTGGGATTAACGGCGGATCATCATCGTTTCCATCACACCTTGCCGTAGCCACCCCCATCACCAGGTGTAGCACGTAGCATCAGCGTTTACTTGGAATCACGAGTGATCATGCAGCAAATCACAAGAGCAAAACCGTGACGGTTCGGGTACAAAAAGGGAAAACTTATTACAAGATATTTTCATCCATCGTTCTGCAGGTTCAGCTTACGTAGGGCTTGTTCATCTTTTTCCATTACATTTACTCTTTTCTGCCCTGCAATAAGAAAAACCGACTGACGTTAGTAACGTCACATGTGATGATTCTTGACACTATTACATGTATTGTATTTGGAATTCGAATTTAAGCAGTCACCAAGTACAAAGGAATTACTAGTTCATGCATACACCACATTTTACTTTCATTTGCAGCATACGCTTCACTACTCACTTTTTTAATTTCTTTTACTTAGACGAACTGACGTATTGTATCAAGTGGCTCAACAGTAACATATAAAAGATGACAACTGATTTACTGTTACTTGAACAAATATTTTCAAGACTAGTTCATCAATTCTAAAATTATTTCTGAAGATTAAATTTAGTATGGTCAAACTTCTTTGTGGTTAACTATCAACGCGTACTGTAGCAAAAAGACCTATCTTTGGTTTTTTGCTAGCGAATCCCTAAACGTAGTGGAAAAACTATTGGCTTTTGCTTAATCATTCAATTATAAAACATTTTTCTAAATACAGCTAAACTAACTACATACTGGCTATTTAAATTGACATTGTTTATCAGAAACTAGGGAGCTATATTTAAAGAAAATGGGTCTTCATATCAGTATCTAATGAATTATTTTCATACAATCTAGATTATCTGGCTGGACTCATTTATGGAGACGGTAACGATAGCCGATGCCAGTAAAGATTACGTCAAGAAGTCCTCGATCTTTTGTATTACAGCTAGGTACAGTAGATTAATTAATCACAAATAATAATTAGATGCTGAAATAGACTACATATGTAGTTGTTTCTTATTGTTACTACACTTCGGGCTTTGACTTTGTATCACATATTCAGCAAACACTTAAGTAACCCCAGAAGTCTGGATATGTGTACATGAAATGTGTCCACAGATATATACATGGGAGTGCAGGCACCTCCCTGTACGGAGATTAGTGTTGACCGGCTACCATCAAAAAAAAACAAACCCATTTCGAATTCTTTCCATCCACTAAGCCTCATTGCAAAACAACAATATACCCTACTAACCGCTAAAAAAGCAATACGCCAAACCAAAGTTAGCTGTAACTAGGGGTGCCAAACTTAAACCTAAGCACATAGCTGAATGCAATGTGTAATAATAAATATTGCAACATATTCTCGTATTTATGTTTCTACGAAAAGAAGTACGAGTTTAGATAAATGGAGGGTAGAGTTTCAATGATTTGCTAGGAGTAGATGTTACTTCCGAACAAGATTTCTATTTTATCAGTCCGGTTGTTATTACACTCAACGGAAGAGTAGTAGCTAGATTGTATCGGTTGTTAACAACTTAATGCGATAGTTGGTCAACCCAAGATCATTCAACGTAAAAATTTCCGAATTGAAAGCTGTGAAATCCAAGAGAACAAAAATTAACCCATTTAGTAATGATCATTTCAAATTGTGGTTGTACGTATATAATCTGACTAAATTGGATTAAGTCAAGCTTAAACATAGGCAGTATGAAGATAATAGTTCAACTTGACACAAACTTTTTCACCGTGTGAGACACAAAAGCTGCTCAGAAGGATTAATTAGAACACATCATAGCACTCCATCAAAGACCATTGTTAGACTACATTGTCAGATTACATGATGCACAAGCCCGAAAATAGCTACCGAAGTGATTAATACTGTAACAGGTGAGTAGCCTGACTACAGCCACTAGATATTACCAAATACTTGTAATGGAACCGGAAGAAGCGAGCATAAATGAATCGATCGCTTTAAACAAGCCATTCACAGAAATATCGGATAATGAAACCGCGCTGAAAACGAGAGATGTCTGTCCGCTTATATCTATCGAGATTGTCATGTTTGAGACATTTCGTCCATACTTCAAGAAAACTACAATGTAAGATCAATTTTTAAGCTTCATAGGTTTAGTTCCAATACATGTCAAAATGCCTTCTTTGTCCCCAACCATGTCTGAGGGCTCAATCGTCAACTGGGTTAAGAATGAAGGTACTTAGTATTTATTTAGCAATATACATTATTTTGACAAGGAGAGCAGGTAGCTGCTGGAGATATCCTCTGCGAAGTTCAGACGGACAAAGCCGTTATTGCATTTGAATCAGAGGAGGAAGGTGTACTTGCCAAAATATTGGTATGTTGTTTTGCATTATTCATTGTTTGCACCCCGGCCTTTTTCATTCACTGTGTCCTGTCGATCGTAATTCTACTTGTTTATCTCTGGACAGTTCCAGACTTGTGTAGATCAGACGTCCATTTCTTCTGATAAGTACTTTCACACTTAAGGCTGCATTTTGGTATTGGGTTTCCCTAAGTTTCATTCAGTTGGTAATTTCCTATATTACGTGGTTTCATAGTAATGTTTGACCATCAAATATAGTGAAAACCTGAGTCCAATTTGCAAGGTCCATTCTTTTCGCTGATCGGAACTAAGATCTGATATATTCTGAAAGTCATTTTACATACAGTCAACGTATCAGGACGTTTTGTGTTTTTTCTAAGGGAGCGTAATATCTCTATAGCAATTCAATTATTCTCATATGATGTGTTCAGTGTATTCAACTAAGACCCCTCTCAGTTGCGAATTAATGAAATGCAAGATGCTAAACGTCATGTCTAGGAAGCCTTTGCTTGCAAGTGTAAAACTAGTGTTTCCCAAAGTTACCAGATTCTCCCAAAATATAGGAATTTTAGTCTTGTTTTGGGGATTACTACTTTAACGGCAGAGCAAAACGTCTGGGATTCCGTCTGAATCTTGTCAAATAATAGATCATTTGCAATCTCAGCTGCTCAGATTTCTTATCATTTTACTCTTTTTGTCTTAGAATGTTGTGTGCAGTATCGAAACATGCTTATCGCAGCTATCTCAGCAAGTTAAAGCCAAAAACTTCTATGCCTCGTAAAATTCCGTTGACTAATACTACACGGCTAATCTCGGAGTTAGTGTCGACATCAGTGCGCATCCAATGCTTCAAAGGCATCGCGATTAGGTGTATATCTACCCGAATTTTTCACATGAAACAGAAGTATATCCATTATGCTGAATAATAATACATTTTTCTTTCAGCCCTCACAAGACATAATAAAGGGCTTCTTCGCTTTCAAAAACGTTTTGTCAAATCCATTACATCGCATAATTGTTCCAATTAGTATCTTTTTCCCTCTACCTTTTCCATTATAGGTAAAATCTGATGTCTTCATTTTGTCAATCGCTTTTTAATTTGTATAATAAATATACTGACCTAATCCTTTAAAGAAAATAAGTGTTGGAAAACACCAAGTAGTTTTAACAGTCAAAATTCTGATAAGTTCACTGTTTTGATTAATTAGGTGAAACCTTACCCTCGTACAAAGTGTTTTACTGACCACTTGATTCTAATTAAAAATGTCCTACAATTTAATGTCTTATAGGCACCTACTGGCTCATCGAATATCAAAGTCGGTGGTTTGATTGCTGTGTTAGCCACTCCAGACGAGCATTGGCAAGAGGTGGCTACTTCCGCCGTATTGCTATCACAGCCATCGAAAGCCGACAGTACTCCAAAACAGTCAGAAAAAAACCGCACCATCCAGGAACCACAGTCATACCGCTTTTGTTCAATGGGACCTGCGGTTCGTCTTCTGTTACAATCACACGATATCGATGGATCTCAAATAATTTCTACAGGACCACATGGTCAGTTGCTCAAAGGGTAAGATGAACTGGTTTCGCGAGATCCACAATGAAACGGAAGAATGTGGCAGGATTTTAAGCCTACAAATAAGTGGTCAACCACTGAACTACTCTACTTTTGCTATCATTCACTTACTATATTCTCGTTCTTAGGGCTTTGAAACTAACACGGGGTTTGTAAGAGGATTTATAGTTGTGTTAATATATCGTATTTCTATTTGGTTATTTATAACATACTGCTAGTCTGCGTCGCGAGTGACCTTATCCCCGAGTCATCGAATTGACGGTTTTGGCTCGTAGCATATTGACTGAAGTATTTGACTTACGACCAGTTGGTCAAAGGTTCCAAGTGGTTATTGAATGTCTGGAAATTTTCCTATCAACTTATATGAATATCAGGTTGTCGACTGTGCACAAGGACTGGCGGTTGATACTTCTTGGTTGGCAACAAGGAATATCTAAGGCATATAGCCTTTTAATTGTGTTTCTATTCATTTCCTTTAAACTATCTGGTTTCGGGATGCAGATAGTGAAAGGACAAAACGAAAATTAACATAGTTCACGCTTTTCCATATAATAGTTGACAAAAGATACTTAAGTTTTGGTCGATAGTCAATCGAAAAAACCATGACTACGTAGAAGCGAAACGATGGGAAAATGTGCTCTCAACAATAAAGTGTCGTTGATGGAGTTTTGTTCTATTAGCTGCATGGTTTGGTCGTGGAGCGTTCATCATGCTTCTGAACGACATCATCAGCACAAACTCCAGATACGGTAGTTTCAATCGGTTCAGTGTTTAATACGTTTTATACTATTATTTTTATTTACTAATTGGTCCGTTTCCACGAAAATATCCAACAACTTTTTTATATCGCGTTATTCTCTTAGTGTCATCACTCAAATTCATAGTCCACTGTTTCATGATCAACTTAGCAACTCATTGTCCTGGAGTTTACGTTGTGAATTCTAAAGTTAACCATTTACACTGTTTCTTTCGACAATAATCTATCCGGTTTAAGATTAAACACTGAAGCAGTGATTTCATCAACGGAATTTCAGCTGCTGGCTTGTTGCTTCATATCCAGTTTGCTTTGGCCTGCTTAGTAGTATTTCTCCCCCATTCATAAAGATCAGTGTATAAAACTGGTTCGTTGATCGAGTTAAGCACAAAATTATTTAATTATATTTTTCTTCACGTTAGTTCCTTTCAAGAAATTAAGAAATTTGACTTTTTCATGCGTGAACTTATTAGTAATAATAGGATGGGAATTTTAAACCAAATATTCAACATCGATAAGGTTATTTGTTATGTTCTATGTGTTCATTTTACTTGGTTATCTTCATCCTAGGGATGTTTTGGCTTACATAGCTAACAACCAGATTAAACCTGTTGTATCTGATCAGGAGAAGCCAATTAATGATATCCCTGTTATGCAAACTGTCTCGTCAGTAGCCACTTTCACAGATATCACGTCATTGAATATGGGGAATGCTTTTGCCCAACGTTTGTCGGAATCAAAATTGTCTGTCCCACATCAATATATTCGTGCAACTACTCGCATTAATCGTCTAAATGAATTAAGAACTGAACTGAAAGTGGATTCGGATGTGGATTTTTCTATAAATGATTTCATCATCAAAGCTTGTGCTTTAGGCTTAAGGGTAAGTTTGTTTCTCTGTTTGATATCGAATATATATATATATATATATATATATATATATATATATATATATATATATATAAACTAAACCCAATCAGTTGTCGAATCTGTTATATTACTTTTTTCTTATCTTATTGATATTCAAAATGAGAATTTAAATGCATGTATTTGTTACTAAATCTAAAATAGAAAAGAAAACATCAGCAAGGCCCGACCGTTGTTGCTACCTTGACGTGGTGGTTGGGCTTGCCTATCGTGATGAAGCAACCGAGCTATACTGGCTGGAACAACCGTTCCTCAAGGTCCTACCATGTCAGACAGGTCGGTTGGAGAGCGGTAAGACTAAAAGCGACAAACCCAAGGTCCGAAGGCGAAGTCGTACTGCTGACTGTACAGAGGTGTGACAGCAGTAAGGTGTTCTCTTCAGACAACCAGCATGACAGCGATGCTGCCTTCCCACAAGGAGGGGTGGGATTAGAAAAGATCGACCCTAAAAATGCACACGTCGCCTTATCCCACGATATCCGTCTCCGGCGGTAAGGTCTCAACAAGTACGGAGCTAGCACAAAAATTACCCATAAAAAGGTCGTGTGTGACCGACCTCAAGCAGTTGTCCCTTGGGCACTGCAGTCACGCTCTCAGGTCACTAAGACCACCTCTAATCCAATTTCCTTTTCAGGAACCTCCAGAAGAACCCTTCCACGGTGTGGGCAACCGGGAAGTGATAACCGCCCTCATACCTCTAACAGCACTCAAGACCACTCTGTTCATAATCAACCTTCCTCTTCAATTCCTATTATCCCTCCTACATCGACTTTCAACTCTAAATTTCCTCTTTCAGCTTCCACCCTAAGTGTCACCATAGCCAACGATTCTAGTGCTCCTAACACTGTCCCAGGTCTACTGAAACCTCGCTCCACACTACACATTGGAGCCTTCAACGTACTCACCGTATGTCAAATCGGTCAGCAGACTTCCTTGGCTAAAACCCCAGAGTCTCTTACCATTGATGTATGCTGTGTCTCCGAAACACGCATACAGGATCCCAGTGTGGTCATTCACTTGACCTCACCTCGCCAAAACGGAGAGCCGACGAGCTACACCCTACGTGTATCTGGTGACCCGATGGCCAGTGAGAGATGGATTTTACAGAAAGCTAAACGTTCAGACATAGTACTCGTAGGAGGTGACTTTAATGCCCAAGTAGGTAGCTTAAGCCAAACAGAAAGATATTTAGGTGGGTATTTTGGTATTCCGGCACAGCGAACGGATAATGGTGATCGTCTGCTGCAACTATGCTCAGACAATCGTTTATTTTTAGCAAACACTAATTTTGAGCATAAGGAGAGACATCGTCTAACATGGCGACCCCCTACACCAAATCAACGATGGACTCAAATAGACCATATTGCCATCAGTCATCGTTGGAGAGGGTCGGTAGAAGATTGTCGCTCATTCTGGAGTACCTGCTTGGACTCCGACCATGCCCTAATACGGGCACGCATCTGCTTGCCCCTCACTGGACGCAAAAAAGCCACAGTAAAAAGACCCATTAGAACTGAGTTGAGTAGCGGAAAACCAAAAGTAGGTTCCAGGAACAACTGCGGTCACAATTAGGTAGTTCTGAAGACGAGGCTGACCCAGATGTTGCTTGGAAAGCTATACAAACAGCTGTGGAAACAGCAGTGACATCTATTAGTGAATTAAACCACAGAGTTACAAAGAACCAGTGGATTTCTTCAAGGTCTATCACACTGATGGATTCTCGTAAACTCATACCATCAGGTTCTGAACATGATGAAGAGCGAAAGCAAATCAGATCTAGGCTAACCAAAATTCTAAGGAACGACCGTGAGCAGTGGTGGGCAACGAAAGCAAAAGAGATGGAAAAGGCGGCGACTATAGGGAACACAAGACAGCTTTACAGACTAATAAAAGAAACTGGAATTAATAAGTCAAGTGTAAGTGAGATTATTTCGGAAAAAGACGATACTCTCATCTGCTCCCAGTCCAGACGTTTAGAACGATGGGCGGAACATTTCAGAGAACAGTTCAACTGGCCTTCAGCTACTCTACAACTACCCTCCATTCCCAGACAACGTGAATGGGACATTGAAGTAGGTCCCCAAACTCTAGCAGAAGTTCAAAAGGCTATAGTTAATCTGAAACGAGGAAGGGCAGCTGGTCCAGTTGAATTGGCTCCAGAGGTCTTTAAGGATGGCGGTCCAATTTTAGCGATTAGGTTGACTAATATTTTAGCTAAGATCTGGGAGTCAGACGTTATCCCATCTAACTGGTCACAATCAGTTATCGTCCCAATATATAAGAAAGGGTCAAATTCATCTTGTGACAACCACAGAGGGATTAGTTTAACTTATATCATATCTAAAATACTAGCCTCGATAATTATCAGACGCCAAACTAAGACTCGTGAACTGCAAACACGAGAGAATCAAGCTGGCTTTAGACCTGTTCGTGGCTGCATCGACCACATATTCACCATTCGTCAGGCTCTAGAACATAGGCATACTTATCGGCGTCCGACATTGGTGGTCTTTCTTGACATAAAAGCATCACTTGACTAGGTAGACCGCGAGATTCTGTAGCAGTGTCTGTCATTGAAAGGCGTACCTCAGAAGTACATAAACCTTGTGAAGGCTCTTTACTCGAACACTACTAGTCGAGTCAGGGCTTATGGCGAACTGTCATCTGCTTTTGCAACCTCAAGTGGTGTCCGTCAAGACTGTCCACTTTCTCCATTTTGTTTAACTTCATCATAGACCTATTGATAGAAATAACATTCTCGTCGACTGAATTCTCGGGTATTGATCTCCTACCAGAAGGTCCACTTATCGACTTAGAATACGCAGATGACATAGTCCTGTTTGGTGAAGACGCTGACAAAATGCAGAGTCTTCTGGCAGCACTAAGCAACAATGCCAGAGTGTTTGGAATACGCTTCTCTCCCTCTAAATGCAAGTTGTTCCTTCAGGACTGGTCTGTGTCAACACCTGAACTAAGGATAGGGAGTGAAGTAGTCAAACGCATCGACACCTTCACTTATCTTGGAAGTCTGATCAGTCCTAATGGTTTGGTGTCTGACGAAATCTCAGCACGGTTTCGAAAAGCTCGCTTGGCTTTTGCCAACTTACGTCACCTTTGGCGAAAGCGAGTTATCCGTCTATCAATAAAAGGACGAGTATACTGCTGTTTTAATTTACGGCAGCGAAACATGGCCCTTAAGAGTAGAAGACACTTGTAAGCTACTAGTATTTGACCATAGATGCCTTAGAGATATTGCTGGCGTCTGCTGGGATCACCGGGTAAGTAATAGTGAGGTTTGACGCGCAGGGTATTAGGGAATGATGATAAATCAGTTGACGAGTTTGTTAATCTTCATCGACTGAGATGGTTGGGCCACGTGTTACGTATGCCCGAACACCGATTACCACGACGTGCAATGCTAACCGGTGTTGGAGATGGTTGGAAGAATGTTAGGGGCAGCCAAACCAAAACGTGGCATCAGTGCTTGAAGTCACTAACTTCTCGTCTGAGCCATGTTGGTAGATGCAGACTACTTGGTTGGGGTTCGCGTGACTATCTTAACCAATGGTTGGAGACTCTTGATGACATGGCTCAGAGCCTATCAAAATGGCGTCGATGTCTTCCCTTAAACTAAGAGATTAAAATTGCTTCATATCTTTCTTTCTACGAACTAATTCTTTCTTCCTGTACTATATCCTTATTGCAATATTTCTTTTATATATTACCACCTCTGAATTAACTACTTTATGAATCCGGTGTCCATCTTGTTGTGTAAATGAGGTATGGCAACTTGGACCGATGCATATATGTGCCTGGTCCTACGTTGTGGCTGACTGACTGTTAGTCATAAGCTTACTTTCCTGTTTTTTCTCATAGACGCCAAACAGTATGAATTACCTTCAAACATGTAGTTTCATTCATTGATTATATTGACTTTCGAGATTTTAGACGTTTGATATAATGTGCTTGTATTTCCAGAAGGTCCTATCAAAATATAAAAATAGCTGTTCACTTCCATCACCCTGTATAACAACATAATGAGAGCTATATTTGGTTTTTTAGACTTATTATTCAGGTAAGAAATTTCATCGTTGAGTCCTTAACAGTTCTGGTCAAAATCTAACAGGATTCAAAATAGACTAGTTTTCCAATATGAATACCTTATCTGACGATATCGAACTAGGTACTTTATCTTAGTGAAATACTTGAATTTTTTATTGTCACGCAATCTTTTCGTTAAAATAAGGTAGGTAATTATCTAATTCTTCAAATTATTTAGAGAAAAGGTGGATTTCCTTACAATTCGATTGAATCTGGTCTGAATGC